ATATATTTATATATATCCGAGTTGAGTCCAGGTAGTATCACTTAAAACCCAACCCAACTCGACTCTAATTTAAAAAAAAAAATTCAAACTCTATTGAATCAGATCGAATCAAAAATCATTAAATATGAATTATTTTATTATTTTTAATTATGATTTTTTTATTAATAAAAAAATAATATTCTTATTTTAGTATGAAAAAGGCTAAAGTTTACTTGTCATTAGAAAAAAATTTTACAGACATTAAAAATTGAATCTCAATTTTATTAAAATTAAATTATTAAAAAAATTGGGCGAATGATTTGGTAGATTTAAAAACCATTTTCCTTGGTCTTTAAAGAAAAATACTATTGTAACTAAAAAATAGAAAAAAAAAAAAAAGTCAACCATATAAAACAAAACAAATGATTGATAAAACAAAAAGAGATGACCATGGAATTCAAAGTTTTGTTTGCTACATAATGTGGGAACCACAATGTTGTGTTTCAATAGGAGTTTAATAAAGAAAATTAATTTAATTAATTGATATATAATTGATTAATCCAATAATAAAAAATAAAACTAAATGATAAATTTTAATTAAAAATATTTTGATTAATCACTTTTTGTATTTTAGAGTTCACATTATATATAAAAGATGATAGATTAACTTACACAGTATAATTATTTTTTTAATTTACAAATTTTTAATTATTAATTTCAATAAATTTAATCCTTTAAATTTAGTGAAATCAATAATTAAAAAATACATAAAATTAAAAAAAAACTTATATTATGTAAATTGATCATTTTTCATGTATAGATATATATATATATATATATATATATAATTTAAACAAGAAAGGGTATAATTGAAACTCCGAGAGCCAAGACTTGAATTTCGTAGAGAAAAAAAAAAATCTAAAAATTAGTTTTAGGGAATAGATACCTCAAAAGATAGCAAATTCCATGAAATAATATGTAATGTCATTTACATAAAATTCACCCCAACAAGTTGGGAATATAACATGAGGTTTAGATTTTAATTTATATTATTCATTCACTTATTACTTTTAAGAGGTGGATTCCTATAAGGTTGAGGTTCCATCCCAACACTTGCAAATTTACCTTCCTTAATGCCCCCTAGACCATAAGCTCATTTATACCAAAACAAGTTGTGACCAACCGATTCCTAGAATAATGTCATAACTCTTGGTTTTCGCTTGTGAGAATAATATTCCAGAACAAATGTTGGCCAATTTTAATCAAATTGCGGGTCATATTCCCCGCTACCTCAACCTTTTTGTTGCATATCCTAGCTGAGGCTACAATCTGAGCGGGTCCTTTGATGCCTTGCTCCTGAAAAGAGCTTATAATTTAAGCAAGACAAGATATATGAATCTAGAAAAAAAACAAAACAAAAAAAAAAGTAACCTCTCTCCATGTAACAAAGTCAAAGTCCAGCATCAAATCTTAGTGGCATCAACACTCCGCCATTGAAACTAAGCAAGCTCCTAAAGGTTTTCAATTATTTTTCTTTTCCTTTTTATTGGATAGCAAACAAATTCTAAGATGACAAAGATTTTCTAGTTAACCCAGACTTAACATAGTGTCACTACCCTTTTAGCAAAAGAATCAAACCCCCTTGACTGTGGTCTTATGCAATTATCGGGAAAAACAATGGGATGGACAAAACCCTTTAAGCAATCCCAAAGTGGTAATATTTTCAAGCTAGTACTTTTTCCTATAGAATGTGCATTTTGCAGTTACAGCTCCTTCATGTATAAATACATACCTTGAAGTGGTAAGGAAGTGGGTAATAGGGTAGAGATTTTATGTTTTCTTTAGCATAACTTGGCAGTGTGAAACAGAAGATGACAGAGTTTCAGAGAGCGTTCCAGCTTCCAACATACAAATCACCTGTTTCATATTGTTGTTTTGATCACCTTTCAATCTAACCATACAGAAAAAGAGTCGAATCTTATTTTATTCTGTCTTTATCTGTGGAATAAGTTCATTAATATAAACTTTCTAGTCTATGTATAGTAATGTTGCTGTCCTTTTTATCCGATCACAAACAAAAAAAAAAACCTAAGACACAAAGGAAGTGAATGGCAATGGAGTATCAATGCTGCGAAACAGGGTTCGTTATTGGAATCATTATAGTTGCTAGTCTCGTGTTGTTTGCTGGGTTGATGTCTGGACTAACAATGGGGCTCATGTCTTTAAGCCTAGTTGATCTTGAAGTTCTTGCTAAGTCTGGAACACCTAGCGATAGTAAACATGCCAGTAATGATCTCCTATACCCGCTTTTATTTTTTGCAAATAAATTGCTTCTTCTTTAATGAGTTCCATTTGCTGTGTTTTTTATTGGTTTATGACAGCAAAGATACTTTCAGTCGTTAGAAGACAGCATTTGCTTCTGTGCACTCTATTAATCTGCAATGCGGCAGCTATGGAGGTATGAATTCTTTGAAGATGTTTTCATTTTCTATCCCGGCTTGACACTCACAGTAGAATGTTTCTACCTCTTGAGTTTGCTGGTTTTACAGGCCCTTCCAATCTTTCTGGACAGCTTGGTATCAGCTTGGGGTGCTATTCTTATTTCAGTCACCCTGATACTTATGTTTGGTGAGGTTAGTTTCATTTTAGGTTCTTAGTCTCATGTTTTAGGCATTGTTATAATATATAGATATGTAAATCTATAACTAGACTTAATAAAAGAGTCACCGTCAATTTTTTATCTAAGTGTGATTGGTTATCTAATGAATTTATCTTTTTAAGGAACTCTTAAGCTTGACTAAGGATACCTAAAGAATAGATTCTGGTCTACTAATTAGAATAGGACTCGAAAGTTTAATTACATATGGAGAAGGTTTATAGCACCCCAACATGTTTATCTAAGGGACAAACCCGTTTTATTTTAAACTATCCTAAAGTTTATAGTTCTAATATTTTAATTTTGATATTTAAATATTGGATATAATTTTTAAGATTTTTCTATCAATCTAATAGAATTTTTAAAAATACTTCATCATCTCAAGAATATTCAAGAATCCCATTTGTTTTTTTTAAAGAGGTTTCATCGTCGAAAAGCTTAATTAATTTTGTATTTTTATTTGAAATACATCTAATTTTTTCATCATTTGAGCCAAAATTAAAAATATTTTCTCATCTAAAATTTTTAAATAATCATCCATTTATGATTATTAAGAATTTCATCCTCAAAATTTATTCTTTTATGTTTATTTTTATTTCTAAATTTTTCACCTTTTGGATCTATTTAAAAAATTTTCCTAAAAGTTTCATATCTAAATTTTTCATTATTTGGGTTTATTTAGAATTTAAACTCTTGTTAATTTCTTAATCTTTGAAAAAAAAAAATACAATAATTATTTTTTGAAGTCTCATTTAAATTCTTCTACTATTTGTTATGAATTTAAAAAAAAAAAAAAAACCTTTCATCTAGAAACCTTATAAAAATTCAACAATTTGTGATTTTTTTAAAGATTTTATCATTCGATAATTGTCAAATATTTTCACTTAAATTTTTAATTTTAATTTTTTTGTTTGAAAAATAATATAATTATTTTTATTGAAATTTCATTTAAATTATATCATCATTTGGGTTAAATTTAGAGAAATTCTTTATTTAAAGATTTATTAAAAAATTTACCATTTGAAATTTCTAAAATTCTCATCATTAGATAATTATTAATTCAATCCCAAATTTTTTATTAAATTTATATTTTTTATTATATATTTTTAAAATTAAAATTAATTATTAATTATTATAATTGAAACTTCATCTAAATTCTCCTCCATTTAGGTTAAATTTAAAAAAAATATTTCTCACATAGAAATTTTATATAAATTAACCATTTGTAATTTTTAAAAATTTTATCATCGGATAATTAATATTAATTCTGAAAATTTTACTAAAGTTTTATTTAATTTTATTTGTTATAATTATGTTCTAATTTTTCCTAAAAATTTATCATGCAGAATACTTTTTAAAATAAATAAATGAACAAATGATGAATAAAATAATAACATAAAACAAAAATAAAAAAATAATAAAAAAACCATAAAAACAAATACCAAAAATAAAGAATCGACTCGGTTGGAGCTAAGGCATGGTTCGACTGCAGAGATGACGGATGGCTGAAATGGCTACTATTGGCTTGGCTTGGTTAGAGCTAAGAAATTGAAACATGGGTCATCTGATGGGTTTGCAGATCAAGCACTTGGATCGAGTCAGGCAACAAAAACAAACGAATCTTATGAGAATTTAAACACCAAAATGTCATTGTTTCAATCGGGTATAAAACCCAAATATTTTGCTTTTCTCCTCAAATTTTCCTAATCTTCTTTCTTCTCTTTCTTTTTTTTCTCTAATCTCTCTCTAAGATCGAGTGAACTCCAATTGAATATGCATCGAATTTTGAAAACTAGAATGCCAAAAATTAGGAAATCTCATTGGAAAGTCATCAGAATCTAGGTATTGTCTCTAAAAAATTTAATAGATTCTAGAATTTTCTAGAATTTTCTTGAAATTTATAAACTTCTCAAAAATCATTAATTGGACTTCAAAAAAACCAAACCAAACTTTTCCAATACTAAAACAAAATCTATGCCAAAAACTTTTCTAAAATAAATTTGGACTTGATTGCTTTCTCTATTTTTGCTTCTGATTTTTGTGTGTTCATTCTCTATTGATAATAAGTTTATTATAGGGACATTAAGAAATGTTTTTGATTGACTATGATTCAATTTTTAATAGAATTTTTGTATTATCATAAAAGTAGAATTTATCCTTTTACATATCAAATCCAATTCTAACTCTGATAACACCCATCTTTTTCACATTGATTCACAGCAAAACCTTTTTTGTTATTATTTTTTAAAATTTTTTAACAATTATCTTTTGTTACTTTTTACTATTATCATAATATTTTAATACCTGATCTGATAATATATATATATAAGCTAAAGATAAATAAAAAAAACTAATAACAAATAAATAAATAATCAACATCATATATATACAAAAGGATAAAACCAAAATATGAAAATAAACAAATAAATAAATAAAATAAAATGAGTAATTGAGCTTAACTGCACTTGGTTTGGGCCCAATCGATTTAGGTTTGGATCAAATAGGGTGTCTACAGTTATCTTGTTTTGCACATTTTTTGTACAATAGGAATTGTGCAAAGATATAAACAACTCATTACATCAAAGTTCACATTATTCACTTTTTTTTAAACCTTTTTTTTTTTAAACGAACACTTAAACTTTTTGAATAGTATGAAAGCTCCTCCAAACAAAGACCTAGCGACTTTTAAAAAATAACTAAGACTTCTTTAAGCAGAGGCATTCTCTAAACAAAGGCTTAACAACTTTTGAAAAAAAAATAAGCAAAGGTTTTTAACAATCATGCCGAGAGGTTTTACAAATCGTTCCTAATATTGAAAAAAGCTCATTTGAACAAAGGCTTCAAAATTAAAAAAAAAATTAGAAAATCTTTCTTGACCATGACTGATTTTCTTGAAATATCATTTTTCAAGAATTAGGATCTTACCTCAGAGGTTTCTTCTCAAATGAGAATTTGAAATTCTTTCACTGGAAAGTCTTTACATTTATCTTCTCTATGTTGGATCTTACAATATCCCTATTTTCTAAATTCATGTACTAGACATTCCTAGATGCAACGCATGCTATGCAAATGTCAATTAATTAAATTTTTTTCGATTGTGGTACCACAGTTTTCAAGACTCTTTCTTTTGGATCTTGAACTCTTCCAACTTCAAACAATAAGACCAAATCAACTTAGTTCTCAATCATCTCCTTTTTCAATTGCTAGCACCCATATTTTTCTTTTTTAGAAATCTTTCTCTTTCTCTTCCAAATTCAGTGTCCTTACTAGGCTCTAAACAATTCATTTTTGTCTTTATCACTTTTAACCTTTCCAAGGTAACGTAAAGACCTTTCATACTATTATTCATTTATCAATCATTATTTTAATTTCAAAAAAAAAATGCAATCACACATTTATTCCATTATAAGGTATTTAAGGGAAAAATTAAGCAGTAAATTAAGAATAAATGGTACATAATCATTAAAAGAGAGATACAATGAACAAAATGAAATATCTCTTATTTAAAAAGAATGATAGGACAATTTTGGCCATTAACAATATAGAAGGGTTAAAGTTACAAAGATGAGTTATTAGGGTAACAATGCTCAAAATAAACAATCAAATCATCATGATAACACATTTTAAAGTTTTTTTGAAAACTCAACCACTTGATGCACCTAACAACTTAGAGCTTATTGAAACATGCTAGCCTTCATGTTAATGAGTTCCCAAATTGATGCAATATTCTCATTATCTAAGCTACCTTTTTAGGTTTTTAACTTAGATGAATGCCTTTTTAACTCAAATCACCCTTTCGAGTTTTCAATTTGAACTCTTATTGTTTTATTTTCATTCATTATTTCTTTTTTTTCTTTTTTTAAGCATAGTATTTTTTCACAACATTAAAATTTATAGGATTGGGTAAATAATCTCCATCCATTTTTGTTAATATCAGGGCTCCACCAGAAAAAGCTCTTTTCACAATATATGGCATTTCTCATTTTGGAGTTCACTTTTCTCTATTATCATGCTGGCTTGGAAGAATTTTTTTTCTTAAAACCAACTCTCATTTTCAAAAGCAACGAGGTCAAGCCTTTTATCATTAGCCCTCATCATTTTTTTTATATAGCTGACCATAACATAGTGCTGTCAATCTTTTCTCTTTAATGAAATTCAATTGCTCATAACACTCTCGAATTCATTTAACCTCTTCCAATCCAACTTCCTTTAAGACTCTTAAAGATGAGATTTTTACTTTCACCGATAACATAACTTTCATCATATATGCCAAAAAAAAAAATGAGGTTACTTAGTAAAGGTATGTATTGATGTTCGATAAGCATGCATAGTAAATAGCAATTTCTCATGCCAGTCTTTATAGGTTTCGACCATCTTATCAAGAATTCTTTTTATATTCTTGTTTGCCGCTTCAACTATTCCATTTATTTTTGAACGATATGGCACCGAATTACAATACTCGATCTTGTATTAGGCATATTTTTCCTTCATCATCTTACTATTCAGATTCTTGCCATTATCTAAAATGATTCTCTTTGAAATTTTATATCTACAAATAATCTCTTTCTTTATGAACTTGTAAATCACAAATCTTGTCATACTTCTAAATGAAGCTATTTTCACTAATTGGAGGCCTTCGGAGTAATAGGACCAATAACATTCATACCCTACATGGAGAATGATAGAGTGGTGCCAAAACATGTAAAGCAGTAGGTGGAGTATGGATTTTATTAACATAGATTTGGCACTTATGGTATTTTCGAGCATAATCGATGTAATCGCTTTCTATTATCAACCAATAGTACCTAGCCCTTATGATCTATCTGGCTATCATATGTCCATTTGTATTTGCTCCACATATTCTATCTTGCACCTTCTTAATAATCTTTTTTGCCTCAATCGTATTTACACATCTCAATAATACTTGATCATAGCTTTTTTTATACAAAACATCACCATCTAGAAAAAACTCATAAC